AGAGAGAGAGAGAGAGAGAGAGAGAGAGAGAGAGAGAGAGAGAGAGAGAGAGAGAGAGAGAGAGAGAGAGAGAGAGAGAGAGAGAGAGAGAGAGAGAGAGAGAGAGAGAGAGAGAGAGAGAGAGAGAGAGAGAGAGAGAGAGAGAGAGAGAGAGAGAGAGAGAGAGAGAGAGAGAGAGAGAGAGAGAGAGAGAGAGAGAGAGAGAGAGAGAGAGAGAGAGAGAGAGAGAGAGAGAGAGAGAGAGAGAGAGAGAGAGAGAGAGAGAGAGAGAGAGAGAGAGAGAGAGAGAGAGAGAGAGAGAGAGAGAGAGAGAGAGTGTGTGTGTGTGTGTAGGGGGAGAGAGTGAGTGTGTGTGTGTGTATGTGTAGAGTGAGTGAGTGAGTGTGAGTGTGTGTGTGTGTGTGGGAGTAGAGTGAGTGAGAGTGTGTGTGAGTGTGTGTGTGTGTATGTGTAGAGTGAGTGAGTGAGTGTGAGTGTGTGTGAGTGTGTGTGGGAGAAGAGTGAGTGAGAGTGTGTGTGAGTGAGTGTGTGTGTATGTATAGAGTGAGTGAGGGAGTGTGAGTGTGTGTGAGTGTGTGTGGGAGAAGAGTGAGTGAGAGTGTGTGTGAGTGAGTGTGTGTGTATGTATAGAGTGAGTGAGGGAGTGTGAGTGTGTGTGAGTGTGTGTGGGAGTAGAGTGAGTGAGAGTGTGTGTGAGTGTGTGTGTGTGTATGTGTAGAGTGAGTGAGTGAGTGTGAGTGAGTGTGAGTGTGAGTGTGAGAGAGAGTGAGAGAGAGAGAAAATAAAGAAAACACACACACACACACACACACACCAGAAGAACAGCTAACGGCCTGAAATATAAATGGATTGAAACTCAACAAACACACCTACTGAAGGACGATTCAACTGCTGTCTGAATCACACACACACACCTAAGACTCTCCAAACTCCCACTGACACTTTAGTCTATATTCAAACAAACCTAAACAAAAGCTCCGAACGAATCGACACAATCTGCCACACTAAACACTGTCCGGCTCTGAATGCAGACGCAGCGAGTGTTAGCATGCAGAGCAAGAGAAGCACATCAAATAAACACCAGCAGATGAGAGTGTGTCGATGATAGAAACACTCCAGCAGCTCAGTAATAAATCAATACATACACGCATGTGCATGAAACAAACGCTCTTTCACGCATGCATTAACACACAGACACGTGTAGAAATGACACAGCTCAAGGACAGTCAGGAGCACACACTATTAATTACACGCATGAACACAGAGACTGGATGAATACAAGCGGCCATACAGATGACACTAAACAGACAGAGAGAAAGGACAGACAGACAGACAGACAGACAGAGAGAGAGAGAGAGAGAGAGAGAGAGAGAGAGAGAGAGAGAGAGAGAGAGAG